CTTATCTGATACTAGTCGTTTTGCTGGTTATGGTGTGTCTTATGCTAAGTGCCAAATTAGGAAGGGCATCGAGCTCAACAGATTAGACAATAAAATGAGGGTAAATATTACCTGTAGCTACTTATAATTTATTAGCATAATTAAGAAATGAGGCTGATAATTCTCTTTTCTCAAGAAAGAGAATCCTCTAGTTTTGTAAGTTATAGTTCAAATTTCGCTACAATTTATATACATCTTAGTTCATACACACAGAGACAAATAGCTAAATGATCGGACGTGTATCCAGATTTACGTAATTTGAATGGTGGCTGAAAAGAAGGGGTCATTGAAACTTGATAACCGCAGAGAGAGTTTACAATATGCTAAATTCATTACAGCTGGCTTAGTAAATTAACGTCTACATGAACGCACATACACCCGACCCTACAAACGTAAATGTTGTTAACTTTACTTATTACTTTATATATAAATGAACCGGATTTTGATATCTCTTGTAGTTACATTCCAATGTTATGCATTTTTGTGAAGTATCGCTGCTACTTTCGTATTAATATATACATATGAATGCATATAAGCACACATAAACATACACAAATACATGCTTCAGGAATCACATATGAGTTTAACTAACCTTGACTATAGATCATGATCTAGAAGCAAGTATCATACCCTGCTCTGACGAAAGCCTAACACGATTTAGTAAAATTCAAACGTAATTGTCTCGAGTACAGCATCAACCAGTAAATTACAGTGAGGCTAAACACCAGCTGGTGGGATCGACCTTCAAATTTCTTTATCGTTCACTTTCATTCCAAATGGAAGCGGGTTCAATAAGTGTAAACCAAATTTTTTCGTACATATAAAAAGTCAATTAAGAATCAAAGGAATGTAGTATGACCAATCAATAATTTTAAAATAAAAATGTAAAAGTAAAATGATAATCCTAAGCTTAAGCGTTTCGGATTGCAAGTATTGAAACATAAGTTTAACTTAAGCGCGCAAGCTTAGTCAGCTCATCTCTTTAATGAATAGGTTAGATCCTTCGAGGAAGCCTATCCAAAATTTCCTAAACACGATACTCTGTTTATTTAATCTTTTCAGAAAGTACCATCAAAGCCTCACGCAGGCAAATACATGGAAAATGAAGCCTCAGGCAAAAATATACATCTGAAGGGATACCCCATTAATGCTGAGATGAAGGTATCAGAATAGCTTTAGCCAGTCAAATTAGCATAAGAAGTAATCAAGAACAATATATAAGCAGGATTACACGACTGTGATCATGAATAATGGGCGGCCTGGCTCATGAATTGAATAAAAAGTAAAGGAATGTCTTAAGCATAGGGGATTTATAAGAGGCTATTCGATTCAAGTCATTAACCTTTAAACTATTTGAAATCCAAACAAGGGCGATGATTTAAAAATTTGGAAGACGAGCATTATGGTTTCGGATTTTGAGCTCATGAAAGTCTTATAATAATTCCGAAAAGCATATTTCGTCGTATAGAAAGTCTCCTTAATTGTGCTTTTACTTCAAGGTTAGTATCATATTATGTAATGACTTAATAGCGCAAGTCGAATGAGGATCAACTAATTTATGCTAATATGACATGTATTCAACCAATTTCGTTTAAGGTGATGAAGGACTGGTAGAAGAATTTTCCCACATATTACTGATTTACTGGTATTCTCGAGACAATACTTAAATTCGAAAAAAATATGCTAACTAGCGTGAAATACCCACGTTAACCTTTAATAAATTAGGCCCTGCATCTTTTACTTTACCAGCAAAACCAATTTTATTGCATCATTTAATTATTTATGAGACGTCCTTCTATCATCATTTGTTGATAGATGTTTTACCACATTGCTGCTAACAGAATTACACATAACTTGGGATTAATTATGCCTAAAGCCATTTTATTAGCCATTCGCTATATAAATAAATTAATAATTTAATACTTGGTTTTGTGCTCGATTACAAATAAGTTTCTTATAAGGGCATTACACAACTCTTAGTCATAAGGTCTGTATTGAACTTTTAGATGTCATAATAAAGTTACTTTTACGCACTGACAATGAATATTATTATACATGTTCATAGATAAGAATTAAATGAGGAAAATAGTTTGCACTGAGGCCGAACATTCTCATATTTATTCGCCGGATTCAAAATTTCATTCACTACATGATTACAATATATCTAATAGTGTAGTATTAGTTCTCTAATAAACTTAGCACTGCAAACTTCCATGGGTGTGATAAAAATGTAAGAATGGAGTTCGAACCATTATGAATTATACCATCATGCTTAAAAAGTAGATTATTTGATATAGTGTTGAAAATAATTCTGAGGGCATTAAGCTAATTAGATGTGAATGATAGATTCTAAGTACCACTAAAATTTTTATTCCTAGTAAAGAACAAAATACTAAAAGTTTTAATTGAAGGTATCAAGACCAAGATGGTGTTGCCTTTTGTATGGTCGCAGTTGTATA